TCAGGCTGCAATAAACATAAAATATTTATTGTTGGTACATTTAAAATTGCAGTTTTAATCTATTTGTTCTCAAACACGAGGCACAATCAGTGATTAACATTGATGTCCTACATTTTCTGGTCCCATTTCCATCCCCTTATACTGCCTTGCTTGGACAAAGGCATATCTTTCGTAAAGTTTTCTATATCAGCCAATATTATAAAAAAATAAGTAAATTTATTTTTAATGACCTACTGTTAAGTAAGATTTGAACTAAATTTTAAAGAATAGAACGCCATATTCATGACAAAATTTGTCAACCTCTGACTCTTTGCAAAATTCAACTCTTCACTCACCGAAATCTACCAGCTTGACCTCACCATTGTCAGTCAGTAGTATATTGCTGCCTTTGACGTCGCGATGAATAACACCAAAGGAATGAAGGTGTGCTAAAGCAGAGACAGTGGAATAGAGAAGGTACTGCAGCACGACCACCGGAAGGCGTCCAGGTGAATCCCCTCCATCAATACAACAAATATTGCGTGGTAGGTAAAGACGAGGTGCATGTTTCTTCATTAAATCCAGGCGTTTTTTCACACCGACTTCAAGTCGATGCTTATTTCGAGCACGACGATGAGTGAGACAGGGACAATGGGCCACGGAAAGCTTGTTTATAAGGTCATTCTTGTGTTGCAGATTAGTCGGAGACGTTTTTGTAATTGACAGGTTGGAAGTGGAAAGATATTTGTGAACTAGCTCTTCCGGACAAACAGTCGATAAACAAGGAATGAGCTTGGCGAAGCGTTTAGACAGCTCAGTGACTGTACCGCCGCCGCATAATTCCATGGCAATCCACACTTGCGGTTGAAGCAGGTCATCCGCGGGGCTGTTGACGTAAACACCCATAAATTGGGGAAGGTTCGGATGATTGTAGCAGAGGCGATTGAGAGCACGCGTTTCTTTAACTTCTTCTAAGGCCTCCGCTATGTCATCAATGATTTTAATTGCCACATTTTGACCTGTAAGGCAGTGATTTGCAAGAATAATACCCTACTAAGTCTTGTAGACGATTTATCGTATTAAAACCCAAAACCAAAACAAAGAATACCTGTTCACAGAAATATTTACATAAAGCCGTTAAAAGTAGATAACAGACTCTTTCACTAACAACAATTAAAAATAAGGTAAATGAAGCAACGAATCAACACTTTGACAAAAGAACGTGCCATTGCTTCGATAGTAAGCTTGCCAAACCTCCCCATAGGTTCCCTTTCCTATCCTCTTTTCGAGTTTGAAAGTCTTCTTGGGATCTGCCCTTACCACTTCCATTGAAAGAGGCAATCCCACAGAAGAATTCGAAAATGTGGTGACCTACAATATTTCTACACCTAGAAAATATAAACACAGCCTAACTGTAAACCAAAACTAATAAATCATAGTAAATATTACAAGTATATATTGCAAAAACAGTTTATTTTGAAACTTAGAACATTTAGGACTTGGCTGCATAATCATATCATTTGTTAGATAAATGTTACGGCAATAACATAATCAAGTGCGAATTTTTAGAGTCTTACTTTTTAAAGCAAAGCCCAAATCTAGAAGCTTACAAGTTATTTACGATAATTAATCAAGCATTGTACGGAAGCACTTATACATTGACCTTTTAAGCCTTATGTGAGGCAAGTCAGACTTTTAAACTTCTTTGTGGCCATTTACTTTGTTTCTGTAGCATTTTAAGGCTTTCCATATGGTGTTAGAAGGCACAAGTGAGCTTAAATACATGTATTTGAAAAACGACAATATAAATAGGGCATGAGCGTGGCCTGAAGGCCAGCCCACGTGTACGAGGGCCAGACAAGTCCTAAAGTCACCGCAAAACGGCATTTAGTCGCATAAACAAAGCATTACGCGGCCCTTCTCTTCTTTTGAGCGACGTCGTCAACGCTCTCCTTTGGTGCACCTCTCGCGCCAGCCATCACAACATATTCGGTACCATAATAAAGCACCCACGAACCACCCGCCCCAGTCAACAGAGAGTATCAGACTGAGGAACTGTACCTGGCCTCCTCGTCAGCTTCA